TCTTCCCTGTTCAAATGAGAAAACCTGTCCAAGGCCATGCAGCAAGCAGGAGATGGGGACCTAACTAGAATCCAGGTCCCAAGTAACAGAGTCAGCAATCATTTACTGAGCAGCTACTATGTGCCAGGCCCTGTGCTGGTAGTGGAAGTTCCAGAAGAAGAAAACAGAGACAGTTGAGCAGAGTAAATAAATGATGAAATGAAAATTTTCCTGAGCTGAAGCAAGACAGGTGACTTCAGATTTAAAGGGATCCCAAGGGCTGAGTATGAGTAATGAAAAAAAAAAAAAGGAGCAAACCAAACCTCAAGCCTCAACAATAGTGGTGAAATTCCAGAACTTAAAAAGAAAAGAAAACTCAAAGTTTCCATAAATTCTCATTGCAAGATTGGAAATAAGAGGATGGGGGAGAATGTCTTCAAGATCTCAGAGAAAAAGCTTTTGAACTCGGATTCTGAGCTCCATCAGATTCCCAATCAAGTCTGAAGACAAAGTCTGTTTTGAACATAGAAGAACTCAGTTTATTTCCTTCCCACCAATATAAGAAATAACTAGAGGTGGTATTCCAACAAAACAACGAAGTTGGAGGAGGAGAACCACATAGTCACAAGACAGACAGCAGCCCTGTGTGACTCAAGGGGAGGGAAGACAGCTGGAGGGCAGGAGGGCAGCCCGTTACCCCTGGAGGCTCGGAAGGGTCTGGGCAGCAGCCAAGTTGTAACGACATGTAATGACATGGCCAGATCACACTGTTTAGTTCTGTGGTTGAATGTTTCCATCTTATAATCAACCTATATTCAGAATGCAGAGGTAACTACAGTTATATAACAGAATATAAATCTTCTAAATTTTATCCTAAAGAGAGTAAATATACTACTAGTATACTAAGTAATATATAATATATAGTATGATTATGTGTAACACTATGTGCTATATAATATATACCATATAATATATATTATATTTTATATAATACTACATATTAAAATAGATAATATCTAATATAGTTTGATAAAAATTATCAAACTTATACAAATTGAAAGGGGAGAATGTGTGCTAATTTCCCCCGCTCCCATAGCAGGGAGTTAATAGATAAATGCATAAATTAAGAAAGAGGAACTTAAGTATACTACAAAAGATAATAGACATTGGCCACCAAATAACTAACATCAGAGATTATTCAATGTGGTTGACTTGGATCATAACCTTGTGGGCAGAGGTGTGGGAGAGAAGGGACACTTTTTATTTTATTTTATATCTTTTACACTGTGTTCTTTCTCTTCACATACATACTTTACTTCTAATTTAAAAAGTAACCAAAATAAATAATGAAATACCTATATATAAGAGAATACCATGCAGCAGTTAAAAATAATGGAGTAGATCTATTTACTTTAACTTGGAAAGTTATCCATTATATAACCTAGGTTAACAAAGTAAGTTTTTAGCACAGTATTTAAAACATCATATTTAACTGTGTTCAATGAAACATTCAAACCAATAAAATGCGGTCACTGCCTGTGTTCTCTGCGTTCACTACGCCAAATGTCCTGCTCCTGGACCGTCTTCCCTGACTCAGAATTTTGCAAGATGTGTATCTCTTTTTCCGTAGGTAAGAGCTATTTTCCGTATATTTCAAATAACAAATGTAAGTTCTGCTCTGTGAGTGGTCAGTCCAAAGACTGGCCTAGATGAAGCTGCTCGGGAGATGAAAGCTTTACACACAAATACCTGGTGGGGCTAAGCCAAGTGGGGAGGACAATGTAAGAATTACAGGTGTCAAGGCTGAAAGGCACCTCAGAGAGCTCCTGGTCCACCTCCCTCATTTCACAGGTGAAGAACATATGTGGGGCCATATAAAAAGTCACTCCACTGAATTAGTGTCTAGAAAAGCAAGAACTGGGCTTGTTCAAAGCCAGAGTCAGGAAGGATGCCCTGAGGAAGTCAAAGGCTGGAACGGAGGCCTAATGCCAAGGCCCCACAGAGAATCCTATGGGGAGGTGGTGTGTATGTGTGTATGTGTGTGTGTGTGTGTGTGTGTGTGTGTGTGTGTGAGGGGGATGGGGGGCCCATTTCAGAGGCTGCTCAGGGTGCAAATAGCTTGACTTTGAGGAGAAACCTGGAGAAATCAGACCAGATCGTGCTTCCTTAGTGTCCACAGTAGCTGGAAGGAAGCAGTTTTGATATGAGCAGGAGGAAGCATGTCTGGGCCACTGGGGAGGAGCTTGGAGAGGAACTGATGTTTACTGAGCATTTACCATGTGCCAGACATTGTGTGATGTGCTTTCTAGTATATTATCTCATTTAATCCTCGCAGAAGCCTTGTAAGGTAAATATGTTATCCCAATTGCATCAAGGCAATGATGGTTAGAAAACTTAAGTTACTTAACTTGCCCCAAATCCCACAGCCAGCAAATGGCAGAGCTAGACTCTGATTCTGGGTTGATCTGGTTCCAAAGTCCCTGCCCAAGGAATCAGAGGGCTTCTATAAATATGTGTCAACTAATTGTAACAGGAGAAGCGTCTTTCCCAAACTGGGATGCAACAATCCGGTTCCCTTCCTGCGCCCTGCGTGTGGAACCAGCTCCTCTCCCCAGTCCACCAGCATCCAGGTACGCTAGCTGCCTCTTGGGGACGAGGATTTACATTCGCCCAACAGGACTCTGAAAACTCCCACCTGGAGGGATATCAGCAGTTGAGGCTCCCTTCCTCACAGCTCTGAGCACTGACGTTGCCTCCGGGGGGACACCGAGCCCTACTGTGTCAGGGCTGGAGGGAGACGGGCCAGGACAGAGCACGAGTACAGGGAGGAGGAGAGAAGCTGGGGTGCAGAGTTCTTGGTTTCTAGGTGCTCAGCTCCATACCTGTCCTCCACCAACCTCAAGGGCACACTGACTGCTCTTGCTGCCCCTTAGATGCTACCCCGGCCTCTCCCTACGTCTCCCCAGGTACCTCTGCCTCTACTGAGCCTCTGACTTCAGCAGGAGGCAGGCAGGCCCAGGAGAGTATGTATGTCAGGGTTTGTCGCTGACACGTGGAGATCATTAAGGAGGCTTATTTTTAAATTGTAATTGCAAAATGTAAATGCTCCCCAAACTGATGTGTAATTGCTACCCCCTCCACCCCAGCCCTTCCCCTCTGGTGCCAGTTTTGCAAGGAGAGAATTAGAAAATAAAAAGGGGGTGGATTATGTAAGCAAAACGATTTAAAAAAAAGAGAGCGAGAGAGCTAAGAATTTAAGTGAGACAGCTGGCGGCTTCTCTGATTGCCACACTTCCAGCATTAGCTGCAAAAATCGTCCTTGCCAATTGCACCCATCCGAGCAACAGTGTCAACTGTATTTAGTCCCCAGAACAGACCAGACTGGCACTCACTTGGCAAGATAGTTCAGTGGTCAGTGGGTGTATCTGTGTGTGTGTGTTGGGGGAGGGAGAGGAGGTCGGTGTGATAGCTGAGGTCCCCTCTATCTCATCCATAGAAGCCTTCCGTTCTACAGAAAGACACAGCCCACAGCAGGAGTTAGCCATCCGTCAACCCATTTCCTTCCTTTCCCATAATCTACCATGTTGGGGGGACTGGGGGCACCTCCATTCTCCCAGGCACCATGTAGCCTGCTTGGACTCCGGCATCTGCAGCCTCAGCCTGGAGAGAGAGAGGACTCTGCTGGGTAGTTCAGCAGGAAGAAGCGCAGTTCAATTGCCAGTCCCAGAGCAGGCCACTGGACTTGGGCAACAACACCTATCCACCATGGCTCACCAGGAGACTCCGCCCCTGTCCTTTCTCACTCTTTTTTTTACCATCCCACCATCATCTTCAAGCCTTCACCACAGCCTTGTCTGCAGTGAACTCTCTTTGACATCAGTGTGCACATGGGCTCCAAAGATTGTCGAAAAGATTATCAACTTGTCCCTGGAATGGGCATCACCCAACCCACAGTTGGGATGAAGCCTTGACCCCCGTAGATATGCTCTTTTTTCTGGCTCTCAGGAGCCACAGCATGCTCTAGCATGCTCCCCACTGCTTAATGCACCTAAAACACAGAGCTCCCCAAATGGGCAGAAGGCAGAGGTAGCAGGGCAGCATGGCTGGCCAGTTTGGCCACTCCGAGACATGTGGTCCCCTTGAATATTCGCAAATTTACTAACTACCTGCTTGGGAGCTCAGCCCAGGAGCAGTCACCTTTCTGGTTAGCTCCATCCCTCTTCCTCTCTCCAGGGAAACCAGCTTTTGTGAGGAATTTGGCAAAGATTCCTGCCTCTAAAAATGAAGGCTGATGAACTGTAAGGTCATGGTGGCCCTAAGACATCAGGGAAACTTAGAAAATCCTGGGCAGGGTCCTTTGGAGATGGGGCCCAATCTCACCATAATAGATCCAGGCCCTTATCATGGCAAACTGGAAAGAAAAAGGGTTATTTTAGATAACTAGATTTCTAAATCCCTGTCTATACTGGTATTCAGGTCTTTGAGATCATGAAGTTACTTAAAGGGATTTAAAAACCCTATCTGATAAGAGGATTAAATGAGATTCTCTATTCAAAATGCAGTATACATTCTAAAGCAGTATTTCTCAGAGTTCATCAGAAACCCCTGGGGCGCAGTTTCCTCTGTGTTCTTCGAAACACTTGGGGTGCAGATTCCTGGTCTTGACCTGGACTCATGGAATCAGACTCCAGTGGGAGGTCCAGGAACTGCATTTTTAACAAACAGCCCTGTAACCCTTAGGCGATGAGCTTGCTCCAGAGGGTTGTACAAATGTTCTCATCATCGTGGATGTAAGCAACAGCCCATCCATCTGCATCAACCACAGTTTATTGTTCACAGAATAAGTAGAAGAAAAGAGAGCTATCCAGAGATAAGGCACAGGTCTCGTCCTGTCCTCAAGGAGCTAAGGGGGAAAGACACGAGAAAATAATACAGTGATATGCTTACTAAGGTTGGATATGCTAAGCATAGGCTAAGGTTATGGGCTGCTTCTCGAGGTTTTCAGAAGAAAGATAACCTGCCTGGAGGGTTTAAGTACGTGTGAAGGCACGGAGAAGCATTTCTTACTGTCCGGGTGATGCTGGCGGCCTCTAGGATGGCCCTCAGAGACTCACTCCCTCTTCTCACTTCCAGCTGGGCCAGAAATTCTTCCTGTCAGCTAGAGCCAAATCACCTGTGAAAAAGCGCAGAGCAGCTCTCAGAAGGGAAGGCTGAGGAGGAGTGATCAAGAACAAGGGGATGCCGGCTCTGCGCCCTGGCCCCTCCTCCCTGGGCTGCCAATCAGGGATCTATTTCATTTGCTCTACAGACCTGGCCCCCATATTTACCTTTCACCCCTCTGTCCTCGTGTGGCCACTCAGGCCCACCGAGCCAATTTAGAGCCCAAACCTTTGTCAGAGCTGGAAGTGCCCTGTTGTCACCTGTCCAGCTCCCTGACAACAGGCGTATACACGGCCCTCTCTCCCCCGCAATGTGGCAGAGCTCAGTGATTTTCAGGCCCTGGGTAGGCCACTGCTGGCTTCTTGTTTCAAACTGCATGGAACTCAGAGAGGGTTGCAGTTGCAACCATGTCAGGTGTGCGGATGAGTTCCAGATCCCTTCCTAGGGGCAGGCTTTAGCTGGGAGTCTGGAGAGATATGGATGGGGTGGAGGGAAGGGTGCCTGCTGGCAGCGGGGAGCAAGATGCAGGAGAGCAACAAATCTGAAGCTGAAATTACCAGGGAAGGACAGCCTTGGCCTAAAGGTGGCTTTGGCTGTACTGCTTCTCTATTTATTTTTAGATTAAAGTGAATTAATTTTGTTTCTCAATATTTGAGATGGACCAAGGTGTGCAGAAGTCGAGGTTGATGGCAGCACTATTATAAGGCCTGGCCTGACACTTCCCAAACATTCACATTAATTTCTCCTTGTGGGTCGAGTTGCTGTCTTGACTCCATGAGGCTGTGCTTGGGGCCAGGATGGCACAGCCATGGGATGGGGGTGGGGGGGCTGCTCCAGGCCTGGGCTGCATTTTCAGGGCAGCATCAGGGAGCATCTCCAGCCAAGAGCCCCAGCCCTACATGAGAGGGAAATGCATCCTTAACATTCACAGTTCCTTCCTAGTTAACACCATCTTAGTGTCCCTGTAAAAACACATTTGCACCTCAGTAAAGAATGTAATTAACTAGTGACATGACAACAGGAGGAGCTAAACAGTGCCCAGACTGGGAGCTGCAGTGGGGAAATGGAAATTTAGACATTTGCCTGAACAAGACTTTCCTGCCTTCCTTCTGGTGTGAGTGTGCGTACATGCGTGTGAGTGTGTGTGTGTGTGTGCATGTCCACGCACACTGCTGGGAGGTGAGGGTGGCAGAGACACAGCATTCAGGATCCCAAGAGGGTGGGGGGGGTACGAATTCCTGGCTGGGGGAGTGAGGATGGGATGAGCTGAGAGAAGCTCCAAGAGTGGGCATTTAATGGAAATAATGAATTTCCATTAACCAAAGCTCTCTGGGTTGAAACAAAACCCTCCTTCCTACACCCCAGACTCCTCTCAAGAGGAGCTGAGGGATAGAGACCCATTCAAAGCAGCAGGAGTCTCAGGCCCCCTGGCCATTGCCTGCCCTGGGGCAGCCACGCAGAGTGGCCCAAGGGATGGGAACCAACTGGGAAAGAAGGTGTCGTGAGCACCACATTACTCCTGTCCCACTCCCCCTACCCCGACCCCAGCCTGTGCATGTGGCCCTGTCTGAATTCTGTGAATGAGTCCCAGTTCTCGGGCCCCCCAGGCAGCAAACCTGGGAGGTATGCCTGATTCCTCCCACCCCGTGCCCCAGCTCATATTCACTCCCCCATCACTCTTCACTTCCCATCACTTTCCGGTCAGGGCAGAAGATGGTCTTCCCTCCTTTCCATTCCCAGGGACACAACCTAGAGAGGGCCCTCATCCCCGGCCATGCCCGCCAAGCTGTCAGCCCATCTAGCTTGTTAGCTGCTTCCAGACCAAGCTTCCCAGCAGACGACTTCATTCTGCATCTACCAGGGCCTCATACAGGGCAGACACTGCCAACGCAGCAATGAGTACCCACTGCCCTTGATGGGCTTACAGCTATGTCACCTCCTACTCCAGAATTCTCCATGACTCCTTACTCAGAGAAGGCACCAACAAGTGCTCACTGATTGCATTATACCAGGTGCAGTCTGGCTCCTAACCCCCTTTCTAGACTCACCTTTAACCCATCTCCCACAGGCTGTCAACCCTCCATTCAGACACAATCACTCTCCATTCCCCAAACCTGTCCCATAACTTCCCACTCCTCTCACTGCTCCCATTCCATATCCCACCTGACCAGCCCCTAACCATACTTCAATGTTCAACTCAAACATTTTGGCTCTTTCCCCTAGAGCCAGAAGTAATTTCACCTCCTCTGTGTTTCCGAGGAACGTGCTGTTTGTCATTCTCTGAAAGCTCTGCCACATTCCATCTCACACTGTAGTTGTCTTTTATATCTTTCATCTCTTTCCAAACTCATGGGCAGAGGCCCTGTCTTACGTCTGTATAATTTTTCAGCTTACAAACTACTTTCATATGTAATATCTTCTTTTACAATTAAAACAACTTTTAGAGGTTGATACTTGAATACAATAATAATTTTTATTACCTTTACAAAATAATATATACTTATTATACAAAATAAGAGGGAGATAGTTTAAGTTGGTTGTAATCCTGCAATACAAAGATAACTGCACTTAGCATATAGAGAAAAACTCCTCTTTCTTTTTTTTTTCAAAGATTTTTTTTTTCCTTTTTCTCCCCAAAGACCCCCGGTACATAGTTGTGTATTTTTAGTTGTGAATCCTTCTAGTTGTGGCATGTGGGATGCCGCCTCAGCATGGCTTGATGAGCGGTGCCATGTCCACGCCCAGGATCCGAACCCGCGAAACCCTGGGCCACCGCAGCGGAGTGCGCAAACTTAACCACTTGGCCACTGGGCCAGCCCTAAAACTCTTCTTTTTTTTATTTAAAAACAATTTTTTTTAAAGCTTGGCACCTGAGCTAACAATTGTTGCCAACCTTCATTTTTTTAATTCTTCTTCCCAAAGCACCCAGTACACAGTTGTATATTCTAGTTGTAAGAGCCTCTGGTTGTGCTATGTGGGACGCCACCTCAGCATGGCCCGATGAGTGGTGCCATGTTCGCACCCAGGATCTGAACCGGCGAAACCCTGGGCCCCCGAAGCAGAGTGCACGAACTTAACCACCCAGCCACCAGGCCAGCCCCTCCTCTTTCTTAAAAACAATATCATACTATGCACACTGTTCTGTAATCAGACTTTTATATTTAGCAACATATCATAAATGCCTTTGCATATAAGGGAAATATATATAATAATCTCAGTGACTATAAGTCATTCCATTTATGGATGTACTATAATTACTCAGCCAAATTTCTATCATTTGTTATTTAGATTATTTCCAGTTTTTGCTATTATAAATAAATAATGCCAATTCTTGTAGGTGAAGTTTGCTCGAGACTTGATCATTGTCTCAGGTTAAGTTTCTAGATGTGGAACTGCCAAATCCAAAGCTGTGTTCATTTTAAAGAAGTTTTACAAACGACTTGCAGGAGGACCACACCCATTTACATGCTCTCTGCAATGTATGAGAGGCCTTTTTCTTTGCCAGGTGGGTGTTTCCATTTTACAGATGTGGATAATAAGCCTTAGGAAGGTCAAGCACTGGTCTTGCCTAAGGAAACAGCCAGCAAGCGGCATGTCTCCTGACCCTGGACATTTTCCTCTTCCAACCTCCCCACTTCTCTCTGCTCTTGTGTTTCTTACCAACCAAAGGGAGTGCCTGCAGCAGTAAGTGCTGGGCTTCCTGCAGGAGAAGGCAGAAGAGGATGTGCCCTGAGTTGTGGGGTGGGCTACTCCTGGGAGCTCTGCTGATGTCAGCACCACACCCCTCCCTCATTTCCCAGGTGTCTAAGGCCTACTTGGCCGATGAGAGCTCTGTTCTTGGGTAGATTTTTACTATTCCCTCCTCTCCTCTTCTGGGCAGATACAAATTGCTTCAATTTAGTCTCCCTCTATTAAGAACCTCCTATGCACCGGGGCCTGGGCATACAAAGGTGAAATGTGCACACACACACACACACACATATACACGCTCTCCCTGTCTTTGAGGTGCTCCCAGTCCAGATGCTCAGGAAATAACTGTACCCTGTGGTGTGTGGGTGATGCTGCTTCTGGCTGATGGCCTCACCACCCGCTCCTCTGCCAAAGCTCACAGGGCAGGGGCAGGGGACAGAGTCGGGGCCAGGGTTGTGGAAGGAGGGAGCCCTGCCTGCCCTGCCTGTCCTTTGGCCTCAGCTTCTAACTGTGTCCTCTCTGGTGCTGAGGGGCCGGAGCTCCTTCCTGATGTCCTGCTGCAGCCACATGCTTTTTGTCTGTCTTTCTGCTCTAGCTGTACCTCTGCCCCCAACACCACCCCTGAGAAGGCAGTGAAGAGCTGGAGCCCCTCAGAGAGGAATCACGCCGGTATTAAGGAAGAGAAGTCAACCATGCTCCCCACGCAGGGACTGATAAAATACACATTTGAGAGAGGAACGGCCATCTGAGGTGACGCCAGCATGCCCCGATGCGGGGCACCGCTGCAGGGCTACAAAATACACAGGTTTCTCCTTTCCCAGAACTGACAACTACCTCGTTCCCAACAGCCTGGAGAAAGCTGCAAGGCAGAAATGTAGCCTGTAATCTCCTTTCCGACACTGCCAGCTATTCCTCTGAGCATAAGCAGGGCGGCTCGCATGACAGAAAGTGCTGAGGAGAATGCAAGACAGCCTGGAGTTCGGGGCAGGAGTCTGCCCAGGGTGGTGGCCATCCTTTCCATCCCAGTGCAGCTCTTTGGGCCACACTGCCCTCCACACTCGGGGGAGCCTGAGTGCACCTTTTTAGGTCTTGGCAGAGAGAATCTACCACCCTCCCTTTTGTCGCCCACAAAGTCCTTCTCCTCTGGAAGCTAGCAGGCAGCCTGGAACACTGCTGCCCTGAACCTGAGGCTGGGCTTGGGCCCAACTGACAGACAGCCTGACAGGTAGGGAGGCAGACAGGAAGATAGAGAGGGAGAGACGGATGGGAAGACGCAGACTCTGTGTGACCTGAGGGCCCAGCTGTTTCAGGGGAGAAAGAAGG